CTGTTCCCTTTCTCTGTTTGTCCGGCAGGTTGTTCCCGAGTCTGTGTAAACCCAACAGGTGAGAGAGACCGTCCCTTCACCGCGGTCTTTATTACGGGGGGTAAAGTGGGGGGGAATATGCTGGAGATGACAGGGCAACAATTCCAACGTTGTGGTCTCCCTCTCCCTTCCAGCAAAGTTCACCAGCCGCGGAGGAGTTCCATGTCGCTCCAAGCTGTGTAACAGCAGTGTCCGATCCAGCAGCTCCAACACTTCCAACACCAGCACCACGTCAGGTAACAGTGAGGCCAGGAATCTGGGAACGGAACCCTCGGGAGTCTGGGAACGGTACCCTCCGGAATCTGGGAATGGCACCCTTGGGAATCTGGGAACGGGACGTTCGGGAATGTGGGACTGGTACACTCAGGAACCTGGGAATGGGACCCTCGGGAATCTGGGAATGGCATTCTCGGGAATCTGGGCACGCGACCCTTGGGAATCTGGGAGCGGGATCCTCAGGAAACTGGGAATGCATCCCTCGGGGAATCTGGGAACTGCTCTGAACCTGGGATGGAGAAGGGAGAGGACAGTGGAGGAGAGCAGGGGAGGGAAGGAGAGAGGAGGAGACGGGGAGGGGCAGGAGGGCAAAGGAGAGGATGGGGAAGGGATGGGAGGGCAGAGGAGGGAATGCGGGGTAGGGGAGGAGAAGGAAGAGGATGGAGATAGGGAGCAAAGCGGGATTTTCCCAACAAGTGAAGCTGACCTCTTGCCTCTTTCCCCTTTACAGCTGACAATCTGACCAAAACCCACGCCTGACCTCCCGGTTCTCACAAACGGATTCGGTGGAGGCGGGGGTGGGGTGTGGGGCATGATGGCAATACCTGGAGTTGGGACTCGGGGTGTCACTGTGTACACACATCATCCGTCAGGATCTCCCCAAAGCACCAGGAGAGAGCGTGAAGCGGGGAGACAGAGGATGGACTGTTTCACCAGCAGGACTACTGGCCTCAAATTAAACCTCCCAATAACTGTGTTACAGACACTGTCTCTGTGTGTTATAGACACCGTCTCTGTGTGTTACAGACACTGTCTCTGTGTGTTATAGACCCCGTCTCCGTGTGTTATAGACACCGTCTCTGTGTGTTATAGACACTGTCTCTGTGTGTTACAGACCCCGTCTCCATGTGTTATAGACACCGTCTCTGTGTGTTATAGACACTGTCTCTGTGTGTTATAGACAACGTCTCTGTGTGTTATAGACACTGTTTCTGTGTGTTATAGACACTGTCTCTGTGTGTTATTGACACCATCTCCGTGTGTTATAGACACTGTCTCTGTGTGTTACAGACACTGTCTCTGTGTGTTATAGACACCGTCTCTGTGTTATAAACACCATCTCTGTGTGTTATAGACACCGTCTCTGTGTGTTATAGACACTATCTCTGTGTGTTACAGACCCCGTCTCCATGTGTTAAAGGCACTGTCTCTGTGTGTTACAGACACCGTCTCTGTATGTTATACACACTGTCTCTGTGTGTTATAGACACTGTCTCTGTGTGTTATAGACACCGTCTCTGTGTTATAAACACCGTCTTTGTGTGTTCCAGGCCCCGTCTCTGTGTGTTACAGACCCCGTCTCTGTGTGTTACAGACACCGTCTCTGTGTGTTATAGACACTGTCTCTGTGTGTTATTGACACCATCTCCGTGTGTTATAGACACCGTCCCTGTGTGTTAAGACCTTGCCTATTTACCCTATCCATGTCCCTTATGATTTTATAAACCTCTATAAGGTCACCCCTCAGCCTCTGATGCTCCAGGGAAAATAGCCCGAGCCTATTCAGCCTAAACCCTGCAGCTGCAACCCTCCAATCCTGGCAACATTTTGACAACGTTTTCTGAGCCCTTTCAAGTTTCACAGCATCCTTCCTATAGCAGGGAGACCGGGATTGAATGCAGTATTCCAAAAGTGGCCTCACCAATACTGCTGCAACATGACCATCCCAACTCCTACTCTCAATGCACTGACCAATAAAGGCGAGCGTGCCAAACACCTTCTTCACTGCCCTGTCTACCTGCCACTCCACTTTCAAGATGAACTATGAACCTGCACCCCAAGGTCACTATGTTCAGGGCTAGTCAATGGCCTAGTGGTATTGTCACTGGACTCTTAATCCAGAGACCCAGATAGTGTTCTGGGGTCCCAGGCTCGAATCCCGCTTGGGCAGATGGTGGAATTTGAATTCAATAAATTTCTGGAATTAAGAAGCTAACAATGACCATGAATCCATTGTCGATTGTTGGAAAAACCCATCTGGTTCATTAATGTCCTTTAGGGAAGGAAACTGCCATCCTTACTTGGTCTGGCCTACATGTGACTCCAGACCCACAGCAATATGATTGACCCTTAGCTGCCCTCTGGGCAGTTAGGGATGGGCAATAAATGCTGCTTAGCCAGTGATGCCCTCATCCCGTGAATGAATAAAAATCTCCCCAGGACTTTTCCATTAAGTGAATAAGTCCTGCCCTGATTTGCCTTTCCAAAATGCAGCACCTCACATTTATCTAAATTAAACTCCATCTGCCAGTCCTCGGCCCATCTGATCAAGATCACGTTGTACTCTGAGGTAACCTTTGCTGTCCACTACACCTCCAATTTTGGTGTCATCTGCAAACTTACTAACCATACCTCCTATGTTCACATCCAGATCATTTATATAAATGACAAAAATCAGTGGACCCAGGACTGATCCTTGTGGCACATCGCTGGTCACAGGCCTGCAGTCTGAAAAACAACTCTCCACCACCCTCTGTCTCCTACTTCAAGCCAGTTCTGTATCCAAATGGCTAGCTCCCCCTGTACTCCATGTGCTCTAACCTTGCTAACCAGTCTACCAAGAGGAACCTTGTCAAACACCTCACTGAAGTCCATAGAGATCACATCCACCGCTCTGCCCTCATCAATCCTCTTCATTACTTCTTTAAAAAACTCGATCAATTTAGTGAGACAAGATTTCCCATGCACAAAGCCATGTTGACTATCCCTAATCAGTCCTTGCCTTTCCAAATACATGTAAATCCTGTCCCTCAGGATTCCCTCCAAAAGCTTGCCCTCCACCGATGTCAGGCTCACCTAGCTTTGTGTTGAGGTGGCTGGAATATTTCGGATTCTCTGAGTAAGGCAGATCTCACTCCTGTTCCAAAGTGTGCAACTGTTTTTTTTTATTTAAAGTGCTTGCAGCGACCTCCTCCATCGCAAACTGTCTTTGCTTCATGGTACAGCTCGGCTCAGAGTCAACGCCCTGGCCTAGTCCATCTCACACACACACACACACTGAGGAAAGCGTTGGTTATAGCCGAAGGCAGAACTTTTGAACAAGGCATCGTTATGGGAGACCAGCCCAGACTCTGGATGGTGACTGATGGGATAGGGTTAAGGTTAGGATGGTGGGGGGGGTAGGGTTAATAATTCAGGGCAAGGGGCAAATCCTCCGTCATGTCTGCCCTCCCATGAGATCCCAGTGCTGTCCACATTCTGACACTGACCCTGAACCTCACCTCGAACCCTGCCCATAAACCTAACCTTGACCCGTACCATAATCCTGCCCATATCCACAACCATAACCTTCATCCAGACCCTAACCCTGACCCCTACCCTAATCATAGAATCCCTACAGTGTGGAAACAGGCCCTTCGGCCCAACAAGTCCACACCAGCCCTCAGAGCATCCCACCCACACCCATCCCCCTATAACTCACCTAATCTACACATCCCTGAACACTATGGGCAATTTAGCATGGCCAATCCACCCTAACCTGCACATCTTTGGACTGTGGGAGGAAACCGGAGCGAACCCACGCAGACACTGGGAGAATGTGCAAACTCCACACAGACAGTTGCCCGAGGGTGGAATCGAACCCAGGTTCCTGGCGCTGTGAGGCAGGAGTGCTAACCACTGAGCCACCGTGGCTGCCCATATCCACAGTTGTAACCTTCATCCTGATCATAACCCTGACCCCTACCCTAACCCTGACCCCTACCCTACCACTGACCCCTACCCTAACCCTGACCCCTACACTAACACTGACCCCTACCCTAACCCTGACCCCTACCCTAACACTGACCCCTACCCTAACCCTGACCCCTAC